TAACCCCGATTCAGCAGAATTCTTTCTTGCTGTTGTGTGTCCAGGTCGCTTAAGGCTTGAAGTAGCTGCTTAATGTTTAGCTGAGCGAACTGCACTACTTGGTTAAGATTTTCAGCTAAGTTAACAGTTCAATTCCCACCACGGCCTCGTCATTTATGACGGAGAATTACCTCGCTGTCCTGTGATATCTCCGCCATTCCTGTCATGATCATGCATGCAACGATTCACTCCCCTGGTGCTTTTATAATTTGTCCCAGATTCAAGAATCAATTATTACATGTTGTCTCGATAATGCTGCCTCGTTTGCATTGTCCGTCTGACCATGCTCCGTTCTGTTTCTTCCGTCCCAATGGGCCCATTCATCTCTAAAGGGACACTCGCATGTAATTTGCATGCGATTTGCATGAATTTAGGATTTGTTTTTTTAACGCACAAGGGGAATGTTTCTCACGCTGAACTTGTAACCCACAGTTCGCCGGTTTTTCTTTCGCTGTGCTGCACGGCAGTTGAAACAATGGTGCCAAGTGTCTTTACTCACCACCCCACCCTCCACCGCTTCCTCTGTCCACCCAGGGGGATAAATAGGTACTCCACAGTGAGTCGGTGGGCAGGTTTTTCGTATGGTGTCGTGAATTGTGAGTGCTCCCACCTCTTTCCGAACAAAGGCGGTCACTGCATCGCTCGCGCCTTCAGACATGCTTCTGCGGCCGTCCGGAACGCTCTTCTTTCCAATATTATGAAGCCACTGGTAGTGCTGTGCACTTTTAAATGGCCTAGATTGAAAACCAATTTGTTTAGAACAGCTTTTTGTATTTAGCTTGCTGTCCTTCCCCCGCACCTTTGATCAGCACAGTTAGCTACGTACAGTGCGAAATAAGTTCAACATACAGTACATACATAAAAGACGTCTGGCCAGAGTTTAAGAGGAGTCTATAATTTTAATGGTAGGTTTGTTTGAACAGTGAGAGACAGAATAACAACAAAAAAATCCAGAAAAACGCATGTCAAAAATGTTAGAAATTGATTTGCATTTTAATGAGGGAAATAAGTATTTGACCCCTCTGCAAAACATGACTTAGTACTTGGTGGCACAACCCTTGTTGGCAATCACAGAGGTCAGACGTTTCTTGTAGTTGGCCACCAGGTTTGCACACATCTCAGGAGGGATTTTGTCCCACTCCTCTTTGCAGATCTTCTCCAAGTCATTAAGGTTTCGAGGCTGACGTTTGGCAACTCGAACCTTCAGCTCCCTTCACAGATTTTCTATGGGATTAAGGTCTGGAGACTGGCTAGGCCACTCCAGGACCTTAATGTGCTTCTTCTTGAGCCACTCCTTTGTTGCCTTGGCCGTGTGTTTTGGGTCATTGTCATGCTGGAATACCCATCCACGACCCATTTTCAATGCCCTGGCTGAGGGAAGGAGGTTCTCACCCAAGATTTGACGGTACATGGCCCCGTCCATCGTCCCTTTGATGCGGTGAAGTTGTCCTGTCCCCTTAGCAGAAAAACACCCCCAAAGCATAATGTTTCCACCTCCATGTTTGACGGTGGGGGATGGTGTTCTTGGGGTCATAGGCAGCATTCCTCCTCCTCCAAACACGGCGAGTTGAGTTGATGCCAAAAAGCTCCATTTTGGTCTCATCTGACCACAACACTTTCACCCAGTTGTCCTCTGAATCATTCAGATGTTCATTGGAAAACTTCAGACGGGCATGTATATGTGCTTTCTTGAGCAGGGGGACCTTGCGAGCGCTGCAGGATTTCAGTCCTTCATGGCGTAGTGTGTTACCAATTGTTTTCTTGGTGACTATGGTCCCAGCTGCCTTGAGATCATTGACAAGATCCCCCCGTGTAGTTATGGGCTGATTCCTCACCGTTCGCATGATCATTGCAACTCCACGAGGTGAGATCTTGCATGGAGCCCCAGGCCGAGGGAGCTTGACAGTTCTTTTGTGTTTCTTCCATTTGCAAATAATCGCACCAACTGTTGTCACTTTCTCACCAAGCTGCTTGGCAATGGTCTTGTAGCCCATTCCAGCCTTGTGTAGGTCTACAATCTTGCCCCTGACATCCTTGGAGAGCTCTTTGGTCTTGGCCATGGTGGAGAGTTTGGAATCTGATTGATTGATTGCTTCTGTGGACAGGTGTCTTTTATACAGGTAATAAGCTGAGATTAGGAGCACTCCCTTTAAGAGAGTGCTCCTAATCTCAGCTCATTACCTATATAAAAGACACCTGGGAGTGAGAAATCTTTCTGATTGAGAGGGGGTCAAATACTTATTTCCCTCATTAAAATGCAAATCAATTTATAACATTTTTGACATGCGTTTTTCTGGATTTTGTTGTTGTTATTCTGTCTCTCACTTTCAAATAAACCTACCATTAAAATTATAGACTGATCATTTCTTTGTCAGTGGGCAAACGTACAAAATCAGCCGGGAATCAAATACTTTTTCTATCACTGTAGATGGGTTCCCTGACTCTCCTTCTCGTAGAGGCTATTCTGTCGGCAGTGGCATGATACAGCAATTGCAGGGCCGCACCTTTATCCTTTTACAACAAAGCTAGATGTGTACGATTGGCGGTTGTGACATCAACGCGAGCTGACGACACAACGGATAGACAATGGACAATAACCATAGTGACATTGAGAAATGTCTACTCAAGGCCAGTTAGCTAATATCACCAGTGTCACTCTACTCGCACAACTCTGACCCGTCTACCCATTTTTAACCCTTGTTAAAACAACCTAAAATATAAAAACAACACGCACCGCAAAGTGTACATTTTGTCCGATTAATATTTAATCTGCGTCAAGCCGACTTCAGTTTAGCTGTGTGCAGAGGTATGTGCCACGGGGTGGTTCAACTTAACACGTAGCTTCGCGGCCAAAGGTTCATTCGTCCCCGTTGCTTAAGTGTGGTGGTACAGCAGGAGTGCAGGGTACAAAGGTGATAGCGCAGGACCGGTGAGTTGTAAAGGAAACTTTTTTTTTTCAGTCAGTTTCCAAAGAGCCGTCTCGCAAGGACACAATTGTCCATCGCAATTGATCGGGGACGAATAAAATTTGAGTGGGGAGGGGAGAGAGAGAGGGGGAGAGAGACACGGTCAAGGCACCCGAGGAGGACTCCGGTAATATTCGCCCGCGGTCTCGGTCGAAGTCGCGACGTTGGTGCTGCTTGCAGAAAGTGTCCCCCTCCTCCTCCTCCTCCTCTCTGTCTCTCTCTCTCGCTCGTGTGTGGTGGCGGTGGCGGTGGTGGCAGTGGCGGCGGCGGCGGCTGCCTCGTTGTTTTCCGCGCGGACTTTTTTGGGTTTCTATCGCTTGGCCGCGCATTTTTGTTTTGTCCGGCGCGTCGGCACGTTGGCCGGATTTCTGTTTCGCAGAGTAAACTCGCGGCGTCGCGACTCGACCCGGAGAGTCGACTTTTAGAGGCCCGGTGCTAATAATTACGAGTTAAGCGATGCATCGCCCAGTCACGCTGACTCGGTGGTAGAGCGAGCGGCTCGCGGTCGGAAGGTTGCGAGTTCAACTCCTGGTTGCTGGGGCAGTCAACAGCGGTTTTCCTATGGACAGCATCAGCCCCTGCCATAGGAATGTGGAATTTCCTCAATTGGCTCAGTTGCTGTAAATAGGAGATCGAGCACTGCCTCCTTGCTCATTTGAACAGAACATCACCATAAATTTGACTTTTGCTGATCAAATTAAAGCAGTTTCTTAAATACTTGATGAACTGTAGACTTAGAAAAAAAAACAATAATTAAATCACACGAAAGACTCAAATCGCTAACTGCGTGCATACTAAAGTGGGCCCTTCGCGTCTGCTTCCCTGTATTTTTTCATTCACTCGCCTATTCAAATTATAAAGCAATACCCTGCAATAAAGCGAATGGTATGTTCTCTCTCCACCTTTTTCTTGCCTTGTCTGTGCTGTCTATCACAATTTGTTGACCTCAATTTCTCACTTTGCCTCTGTCGATGTCAGTTTCTCTATCCTCTGTCCATTCTTCTACCTCTCCCTCAATTCCTCTCCTCCCTTATTACATCACGTGATTGTGAGAGGTGGCGGTGGCATTTGGGGAGACCTTTAATCCTGAAGTGGATTGACCGTGGCTGATGATGACGATGACGACGATAGTAAAACTGCAGCATGCTTAGTTGAATAAACGTGTAAACAAATGGGGCCGATTTATATTGATCCATCGGCTCCGGTTTCACAGGTGTCTCCAGTGTCATCCAGGTCGATAGTATCAGGCGCGTTCTCATGGTCGGAGTCTACCATTTCAATGACCATTACATTCAATCGTGCTTGGCAATAGGTGTGGGCAACAGCTATAAAGCAGTAGGTGTTCCCGTATTTTGAGCTGCAGATCTGTGAAGGTGCATGTGTTTCTATACATATACAGTAACTGTAAACAGGCAGTTGGGGCAAGTGCTGTTAGCAAGGACTTACGAAGGCCGGCACAGCACGCGAGGTGGGGTGACCAACACCACACTTGTCCGCCTTTGTATCCCTAGTGCTGATGTGTATACACCACACCAGGTGTAGCGATTCGAGGCGAGAGGTGGCCACAAGGCCGGTTCGAATATTCGCCACTGTCATTGGCCGTGAACGGTAATTGAACTCCGGTGACGAGGTCCGTACGGCTGTTGTGAGTGGCGGCAGCTACGGCACATTGCAGGATGGAGGGACCGTGTAAAACTAACATGAGAGAAAAATAACAAAGGATTTAATAATAATAACAACAACATATATTTGCAAGGTGCATTTCATCCGTAGGTCCCATGGTGAAAACCTACTGCAAACCGCATAAACAATAATCAGTTCTAAAATACATATCAAGAACAGTGTCAACAAAATGCCGTCACAGACGTCCATGTAAATAAAGCGTGCACACAGCATGCGACATCATGGGGCACGGGCAAAGCGCGCACGGCAAATTATGGCAGGGGTGATCCAACGCTCAATTACGGGGCCGCGTTTGTCTGTGTGTCGCCGCAGGCATCGCAAGCGCCGCTGGGGCAGGAGAATGGAATCCGACTCGGAGGGCAAGTCCTCCTACGGGGTGAAGTCAAGGATGGACGAGAACAGCACCCTCGTCCAGCGCCGTTCCCGTAGGGTTGTCACTAAGGACGGCCGGAGCAATGTCAAGATCGGGAACGTGGAGGACAGAGGCTCCCTCTACATGCGCGACATCTGGACCACGTTTCTGGACATGAAGTGGCGCTACAAGCTGGCGCTGTTCAGCACCACCTTCGTCGGCACCTGGTTCGTCTTCGGGATCTTCTGGTACCTCCTGGCGCTGTCGCACGGCGACCTGGCGGAGTTCAACCCCCCGAGCAACCACACCAAGTGCGTGATGAACGTGGACACGCTCACCGGCGCGTTCCTCTTTTCGCTCGAGTCGCAGACGACCATCGGCTACGGCTTCCGCTGCATCACCGAGGAGTGCCCCCTCGCCATCGTGCTGCTCATCGTGCAGCTCGTCCTCACCACCGTCATGGAGGTGTTCATCACGGGCACGTTCCTCGCCAAGATCGCGCGGCCAAAGAAGCGCGCCGAGACCATCAAGTTCAGCCAGCACGCCGCGATATGCAGGCACGACGGCAAGCTGTGCCTCATGGTGCGCGTGGCCAACATGCGCAAGAGCATGCTGCTCGGTTGCCAGGTGACGGGCAAGCTGCTGCAGACGTACGTGACCAAGGAGAAGGAGACGGTCCGGCTCAGCCAGACCAACGTCGACTTTCAGGTGGACACGTCCACCGACACGCCCTTCCTCATCCTGCCCCTCACCTTCTACCACGTCATCGACGAGCGCAGCCCCCTCTTCGGCCTCACGGCCTCGGGCCTACGCAGCAGGGAGTTTGAGATCGTCGTCTTCCTCAATGCCACCGTGGAGTCGACGAGTGCCAGCTGCCAGGTGCGCACCTCGTACCTGCCCGACGAGATCCTCTTCGGGTACGAGTTCGCCCCGGTGGTGTCCCTGTCGCCCAGCGGGAAGTACGTGGCGGACTTCACGCTCTTCGACAAAGTGACGCGCGCCTCGGGCAACCTCGAGGCCTTCAAGCCGCCCAAGCTTTCCAAAGCGGATAAGGAGGAGGAGGAGGAGGAGCAGCACCTGCCCACGTTCGAAGAGGTGACCGCCTCGTCCTGTTACTCGGGCAGCGCGGACCTGTCCGAGGAGAACCGTATTAACATGCGCATCAGCAACGTGTGATTGCCTGCCGCCGTCGGCCGTCACCGATTCATTTTAACGGCGCAGACTCTCGCTTGCACTTGCGCCGGAATAATGGGCTCATGTTACAAAACTACGAATGATTGTCCGGCGCTGAGATTTCCGTCAACTGCTAGAATGCGTGGGTTTTTTTTTAACGCTTCTACTGAATGGTAAGAACAAAAATGTTTTTAATGGTCGCATTAATCCTTGCACATTTTAGTCCAAGTGACGCTTGGCCTTGCTGTTTGGCTGTAAGAATGACGTAGGAGATATCAGCCTTGTTTGTGTGATGCGAATTAGTGCCCTGTGCATTATGTGCACCGTGAACAAAATCTGTAATTGCACACGAGTGAGGCATTGATGTTTTACAGCCGTCTAATTACACTGTTAAAATGTAAACAAATTAATTTGCACCTCCTTGGGAATCCACTGCTGGATAAGGCCTCTCCCCCATGCCACTTGGGTTGCGGTGGTTGTTTGACCATATTTTACAACGCTGGTCACAGGGACTGGTGAGCCAAGGGAGGGGGAGGGTTGGCCCAGGACGAGTTTAGATATCACTGCGCCACTGACGTTAGCCGTGGGCAGAAATCTAAATGAGGTCAGGAAGTTCGTAGAGCAGTGTGCAAACCACTACACTACCACCACTACTACTCCCACCAAACCATACATCAAATTGTTATACAAATGTACACAGGTGCGACTGATAAAAACAAATGGATAGTTATCACATCACATCGAGAGCTTTGACATTAATTTAAGTATGTAATCTCTCATCTCGGTGATTTAAATGAGACGTTAAATTGTATCACTAAGATGCTCACGATGGTTATGAATGGGGAGTGTTCCGATAATGGTACAGGGGTATCCCTCGATTTACGAACGTTCGCTTTGCGAAATTTTGCGTCAACGCGATTGACAAATTATGGACGATTTTCGGCGAGCGAAAATCGAATTTCCGCGTTCACGAAATGTCACTCCGGCCAAGCGCGCCGTGAGATCATCAAACGAGAAGCCACCCGGGTAGGCCACTGCATCATCATCCACGCGCAGTGCAGCAGCAGCAGCAAACGCCTCCACCATCACCCTGCCAGTCATTCCAACATGCAGATGTTTTAGTGAGTGCACTGAAAAGGTTCATTATTATTATTTTTAGTTTTAAATTAATTATTATGCAATCGTTGTAATATTTATGTTCCGTATTATTATTTTTGTATTGTGAAAAGTGATGCAGTTGTATATTGTTAGGCTAGGAGTTGGAGTGACTGTCCGAAACATACCCGCGCTCAATTTCTCTGTATTAAATTAATGGGGGGGGGGGGGGGTGGGGGGGGGAAGCCGATTACGATTTTCACGAAATTTCGTCTTTCGCGCGGTTTTTTTTTTTCAAGAACGGCATCCCCTTTCGTAAATCGAGGGATACCTGCAAGACTTTTTGCATCGTACAGTTGCACACGCTCATCGTGTTCACCACAGGCGCGCGAAATTTGCAAGGGTCACGTTTTACGAAGCGTGAGACACCCTCGTCGGGGAAAAAAAGGTGCTGCCAATGGCTGACATCTGTGGCCCACTTGTGGCCAAGGGAGGTTGCTGCAAGCAAAATTGTCCTTTGCTTCTCTTTGGCTCCACGTCAAGAGAGCCCCCCCGTGAGTCAAGGAAGTCAGTTGGGTCGGTTCCGCAGGTGGTGGAAAAATGCCCTACCAGTGTCGTGCCACGAGTCAGACACCCGAGTCTAAATACTATCGATGTTAAAGTCGGACTTCCTGTTGATTTTCACGTGTCGCCCAGGTGACAACGCGATCACGTTCGTTTTTCAATTTCCTCAAACGATGTTCTCCCTATCAAACGCGCTATGCTTTTAACCAAATTAGTTTTCAGCAACCTTTTAAATTATATATATATTTTTAACGATCATTATACGCTACGACGGTAGGTTTTTTTGTAATGTGGAGATTCAAAGTTTGACGGAAATCGGTGGCACCAAGAAGCCGTTGGGGTAGGCCAGGAGTTAAAGGACCATTGAAGAGAGTGCCATTGTTGTGAGAATGACCGCTTGCCAGTATCCGTAGGGCAGTTGGTCTCTCTGAACCAATGAGACACAACTGCGGTTATAAATACGGTGTGGTTAACACGCCTGCATTGCACAATGCTGGACCTCTGCACGCCTCTGCTCACCTCTGCTCACCTGTCCCTGTGTGGGGTGATTGGTGATGTGCCTCCTTCACGCGAGTGTCCACTTGCAGGTGCTGTAAAACAGCACGCGTGAGAGCACCGCGGTGCGTGGTAGCGATTAACTTCGTAGAGGCGACGCGAAATATACTTCCCTCAATTCTGGTTAAATTGTTTTTTGTTTTATTGTAGGGAATTTTTTTTCCCAAACCCCCCCCCCACCTACTCCCCACTGATGACACAAGCACAAATCTGTGGTTAATTACTAAATTAACCACAGATTTGACTGATCAGCGATGTTTCGAGATTAGTTGAGAGATAGGGGTCAATGATTGACTTGGTGTTCTGCTGTTTTCTTGTGTGTTTTGTTACGGGCAGAGTGTCAGGGACGTAGCTATCTCTCTCGGAGTTGGCACATCGCGCCATTCCAACACCCCCCTCTATCACAGCTGAGTCATGTCTTTACAAGGTAACACAATCGAATCTCAACCAGCAGTGATGTGCTTGTAGATCGTAATGCCGCACCTTCGTCCGTGATTTTAACATTGCGTTCAAATCGACGTTGAGATCAAAACCACAGGAATCCGTGACGATCTCCTTTAACATTTTCACGACTGAAAATCGTTACGGCAGAGGTTTTTTTTATTTCGTCTAAATTGTGGCTTTAAATAATGTTGGCCACTTTGCAGCGGATGGGAAGTCGAACTTGTACAGAGCCACATTACGATTTGAGCTGCGAGGAGATCTTTGGCACCTATGGGCGCAGAGTGGTTGGTGCCATGGACTCTCATGCGTGTGTGTGTGTGCACGTGTGGATATACCGGGGAACGGTAGTGTAGTGGTTAGCAACGCTATGCCATGCCGACGACCCGAGTTTGATTCCCGCTCACGGCCAACACCAGTGATGATTATTTGAATCGGTCCTGGAGCCTCAAATGAGTACCTGGTGCGGTGTGTAAACATCGCCACTGGGGAGACAAAGGCGGCCGGGCGTGGTGCTGGCCACCCACCCCGTCGTGTGCCGTGCCGACCTTCACAGGTACTGGCTAACAGCACTTGCCCCAACAGTCTGTTAAGGCTATTCGGGGGGAACTTTGTCATACCCAGTGCTTTATTTCAGCCGGAACAATCCTAGAACCACGTCTCTGTCATAATGTTTTGGACACGCCACATCCATCTCGCCTTATTTTGTTCTTATGATGCAGTTTGTTATCGTGTTCATAGAATTGCAGGAATATATTGCTGTAACGGTAATATCGGATTCTTATAAAAGTACGTACTTTGCACTCTCGTGGTAGTGCCTTATCACACCGATAATCCCTACTCCAACCCAGCCTTGCAGTGCTGTGCAAAATATCGAGTGAAAAATTAATCCCTGGGTGTATGGGAGACTGCTTGATACAATAGGTTTGAAAGTGTGTGTGTGATTTTTAGTACCGTACATATACGGAGTGCGTTAGTGCCATCGGATGTGTGGTGCCAAGTGTATGAAGGCATTAGGGGTTTGTATCCATCACTCAACGCGATTTTATGGATGTTAATGTGTAACGTATTGACCGTTGTGGCTGCAGGCGATGCTGAGTCTGTCCTCGGTGCTTGAACAGACATGACTGCAAGTCGCTGAGAATGAGAGCAAGTGTTGAGCAAGTGGTATTGCTTCAGGATTTCTTAATAATTACTGTCGTGCTTGATATGAAGGAGGTATATGGGAAAAGCAGCAGGTTTGGGAGGCTGTTACATTGGATGAACAGTCAATAGGCCATGAGCACAGACCAGATATAATTTCACTTTTCAGTACCACCTCAGATGATACAACTTTTCGCGTTTCTGATTTAATTTGCGGTCAAAAACTTGGGTTGCCACATGTCCAGGTCAAACCTGAACAGGTGGCACTTCAAATGACAAATGGCAATATCCGTATTGGTTGGCTTTGACCTTTAGTCTGAAATCGGTTGTCGGTTTGGTATTGTGGTCAACTTCATTACAGGAGACTGTAGAGTTTTGATAAGATCTAGTTGCTGATTGACAAAATATGTTTCCATTTGGTTTACTACAGTTTGGAAAGGGTGGTTACCTTAAAAGGTGGTAACCTTACCACAGACAGTGACTTACATGGCAATCGTTATAAATTGAGTGGTTTATTAGATGTATACTACTCGTATTAGCCACATAGATATCATTTCTTTTTTACTACGAAAGATTTACTACCTTGGTACCAATTCCTGCTCTGGCCCATGGACGATAATTCGCTCAATGAAAACCAGTGTAAAAAATGGCTTGCTTATAACAAAAAAACATCACGGTAATTTCCCATGGTGGATTCGGGGAGCATCGATTGCGCGCTCAAGGCGCGCGCAATGTGTTACACGAGTGGTCAAAGACGGTGGTTGCTCCGAATAACATGGCGACGGAGACTTGGGAAGGGGGTAGACTTTACCATTGTCAAGACGTGGAAAGCCCTAAAAACTGGGAATTAATGAACGTTAATATTTAGAGCACAAGCATCGCCTTCACGTTTGGAGTGTTTTAATTGAATTAAATTAAGTATCTTGACTCGTAGAGACTGCATCGTCCTTTGTGATCGAAACACTGAGGATGAACTCTTTCTAGACTGTGTTTACCTGCCCATCGTTTGGCTGTAACCATTGCAACCCAAACCTTTCGATGTAATTCGGGCATCATTGAATTGTTGAGAGGCACTAAACATGACTCTTACCAGACACCGTCGTTCCCAATGCGGACCATCACTCTCAACCGTGCGTCGTACGAAAATTACGTCTCTAACTCACGCTTGAACTGCCAAGGTAAAACTCCTGTTGGGAACCATTAGTCTATTTGTGATTTTAATATACGGTCTATATATTTTTTATTACTTTTTTTTATAATTCATAGTACTCCTACACAGCCAAATTAATTCCAAAGTGGAACATCTGTACGATGACACTTAAAAACATCTTTATAACAATGCCTACAAACAAACGAACATATCTTCCTAATAGATCAAGTAAACATTTTAATTATAATTTACTATATTAGCTCTCACCTGATATTGAACAGCTTGCAAATGTGTATTTTAGAATTGTTATTTACTAATTTTTACCCAGGTGCCTTGATGTCGTCAGAAGGAAATATTACACGCTTTGAACGCCGAAGTCACTGTACGTCGTTGTTGTGTTGTTGTTTAAGGGTGCCTGTGCTTGGGTAAATCTTGAATGTAACTGTCGTTGGTAAAAAAAAAAAAATTTGCGCGCGATGCGTCGTCAAAATGCACGAACCTTTTTGTGTAAAAAAAAAATCAAATTCGTTTTGGGTTTGTTATCGATAGCCGCCGGAATATTGTACGCAAAGGCGAATGAAGAAACGTTTAGGAATGAATTTTACTGGGATTGGTTCTGCCTTTTTTTCAAAGTCCACTACGTCACTTCAAATAAGTGCCTACATTTCGCGAAACACACACACGCGCGCGCGCGCGCGCGCCTATACCAACCAGATCCACTTCTGCCCTCTTTGTATGGCTACGAGAGAATTGACAATTGCATGTCAAAGGCAATTTGACAGCCACTTAAGTGCGCCGTGTTTCTGCGTGTTCCCCCATTTCTTCTCTCAAGCTTTAGCGACGCGCTTCTGCAAGCACCTTCCACTCGAAACACGCAGCACAGCAAGACGGAGAACCACACTCGGTAACACAAGCGGCTGCAGAAGCACATGAGCCGGGATTAACGGCATCCTATCTACCATAATAGCAATCAAATTGTCGTTATTATGAAGGATTATTGCTCCCCAAGATGGAGTTACACACCGCTGTTCTCTCTGAGCGAGGGGCTAAAGTTCAGACTGACTCCTCAGTGTGAACCCCCCCCCACTCCCAACCAGTGTGTCTGCCCCAGGGGTCCAACTTTAGTGTTGTTATTGTTGTTGTAGCTGCCACCAACTCGCCCAGCCCCAAGGGTTTCGTGGGAGATATCTCAACCAAAACAGGGTGGTGGCTACTGGCAGGCTCTTTAACCGGGTCCACACCTGAGTGATCGGTTGAACGCAACTCCGTCGCATGGAACTGAATCGTTCATGCGCAGACAGCTCTGCGACTGGTTGCGAGCAGTTGCGCAACTGGTTGCGAACAGTTGCGCGATCGGTAGGCTCACATTAGAGGCGGGGGGACCGTACGTTCTGTGATTTGGCTGTTGCTGTGCCGAATACACAGTTTCATTTCCTTGCGATAATACTAGTAAGTCCGATTCGTAGAGTCGTGCCGAATTCGTGCGGCGAGGCAAAAAGTCGTGGTTACCCGCCCTGATGTGCACGAAGCAGTTGCAGCGCGATTTACGTTGTGCAATGTCAGGAGAGATGTGGGTACCAACTCGTCGCTCGGGTGTGGTCTCGACATTATGGTTTTCAGATCCCACCAACAACACCCACCGACACGTGGCTCCAATACGCCACCAACGTGTTGCTTTTCTTGAAAGTTTAATGCACGTTGTAAGGATGCAATTTCCACATGTTTATGGCCATGACGACTTTGTCCGTAAGACAACCTTGCGTAGTATTCTTACCTAGCAGTGCAGCTTCACTACGTGGTGTTTACTTTATTAATCGCTGAGGGGGTGGTGATGAGTGAACCCTTATTGGAATTTGAACTCCAAAACGTATGTGCATGTCGCTCAAGTATTTGCCGACGACTGCCAGACTTAAGGCCCACTTGTAGGCCAGGTGCTAAGTGTAAGTTGCCTTGTGCCATACAGAGACGGCTTACGTGGGGGGGGGGGGGGGGGGGGCAGGGAGGGTAACCTTCAAAATGTTTGAGATTAGATGTGAGTCGCTTCGTGCCCTGAAATGCCTCGGCATGAAGGGCACCGTCATCAAAGTCAAATCTTTAATCTTGTTAAGGACTTGGACATTGCAGCCATAGTCACCCCACTGCCCCAAGCCGCCGCCATGGCCACCGCCACCTCTGTGCCGTGATAGTCCCCAGTGCGCACCTTCACGCAAACCACATTTAATCGCCCCATATCCTCAATGGATGTCCTGTCGGACGCGTCCCGTGCCTAATGCCGCTACTCTGCACACATTCAAATTAGTGGAGTTCCTTTTACATAATCCTCCTCGACATCACTCCAGTTCCTCCCGCAGCCACGCGAGTCGTTTGTCCAAATCACACGACTAAGACCGTCCTTGGCTAGAGCCCAATGATCATCTTGACCCAAAATGCCTTTGGGATAATTGCATCGTCCTGCAGTGAGCGGTTATCCTTGTTTAATGTATCAGCCACACATTTTATGGAACCTGTTCATGCGGTGGGTCCGTAACAACGGCATCTTGACCAACGCGGCCCTTGCAGATAGATTTTGAATGTTAAACACGATCTGCCGTCTATATATGTAGTCCTTACACAGCTTCCATCAACTACATTGTCTAGCTTACAGGTTATTGCAGCGGCTATATTTTAATGCTGCAATGTGAGTAAATTCGGC